GGCGCGCCCCTCGGCAGGTGTGGGGGCGCTGCCCCCCCCCCGGGCGGCCCCGCGGGGGAAGCGGCAGCGGTTCGTGGATAAGAACGGGCGGTGTAACGTGCAGCACGGGAACCTGGGGGGGGAGCCCAGCCGGTACCTCTCGGACCTCTTCACCACGCTGGTGGACCTCAAGTGGCGCTGGAACCTCTTCATCTTCATCCTCACCTACACCGTGGCCTGGCTTTTCATGGCCTCCATGTGGTGGGTGATCGCCTACATGCGGGGCGACCTGAACAAGGCGCACGACGACAGCTACACCCCCTGCGTGGCCAACGTCTACAACTTCCCCTCCGCCTTCCTCTTCTTCATCGAGACCGAGGCCACCATCGGCTACGGGTACCGCTACATCACGGACAAATGCCCGGAGGGCATCATCCTCTTCCTCTTCCAGTCCATCCTGGGCTCCATCGTGGATGCCTTCCTCATCGGCTGCATGTTCATCAAGATGTCTCAACCCAAGAAGAGGGCCGAGACCCTGATGTTCAGTGAGCACGCCGCCATCTCCATGCGGGACGGCAAGCTCACCCTCATGTTCCGGGTGGGCAACCTCCGCAACAGCCACATGGTCTCCGCGCAGATCCGCTGCAAGCTGCTCAAAGTAAGTGCGGTGCCTGCCACGCTTGCCCCACTGCCACCGCCGCTCCCCGGGGGGTATCCCACTGTCCCCCTCCGTGTCCCCACCTCCGCAGTGCCCCAGAGCTGCTGGCCTCTCCGCCCGCCCTTTTGGCTTTGCCGTCCCTCGCTCCTGCCCGGGGCTGCCTCCGTGTCCCTGCGATGCTCTTTGGGCTCAGCAGATTTAGTCGCAACCGTCTGATTTACTGGCAGCTTTGTAGGATAGTGGTTATATTCCGCACTGGGTTTACAGGCATATTTATATATTTCTATAAAATGCTAGATTTCTCTGACAAGTAAATACTTTGTAGCTTGAATTCCTCGGTGTGCATTTTAAAAGAAAGCTGTTTGCCTCTCTGGCATATTTCTGTGTTTTCAGGCGACGGTGAGTCCAGTCAGGTAGAACTTTATTTACATGGTTCATGAACTTCATGGAAAGCAGAATGCCAGGGTTAGACATTTAAAAATCCTTCTAACGGCCCTGTATGTCTCGGGAAAATCGAGTGTTTATTTGAGGCTTAGCTACAACGGCTGCATATGCATAAGGGAGATGAAATAAATGTGGAGTGGGTGGAAGGGGCCGGCTCGGCTGACGTTTGACGCATGCAGAGCATCCCGCCTGTTTCCGTGCCTGGCGGGGGATGTGGGTGCCCTGTCCTTGGGCTGGGTGGGTGCTCTGCGGGGGCAGGCAGGGTCCCCTTGCCAGGGGGGGACCCCACTTGGATGCTGCCCTGGTTTTGCCCCCGCTCCTCTGGCTGCCCCCCGCGGAGGGATGCTCATGCCCCGTCTGCTGTGCCTGCATCCGGTTTTGCTCGGAGGCTTCTGAAGTTATCACGGTTTGGCCCAAATATGTTTTTCGGACGGGGGTTTTGCAGGCGGGGTCATTGCAGCGTTCGGCGGAGGCTGCAGGACCCTCACTGTGTCCTAAACCGTGGGGGAGTCTGTGGCCGAAAGGAGGGGTAGTGCCCACACTCAACAACGTCGCGGGGGAAGGGGAGTTTAAAGAACCTCCATAATTTCATTTGTCTCCTCGCTGCCGTGCCGGGGGATGGCTGTAGCGGGGGACGGCTGTCGGTGAAGGCGCTCTCTCCCTGCAGCTGACCTGGAGGCGTCTATTCCCCTTCTTTTCTTTCTGAATAGTCGACTGGAACCTCCGTTATGCTTTTCCCCGATAGGAGCTAGCCCCGGTTGTCTCCTCCTGTCAGAAGTTTAGATGGGTAAATTGAATGATGTGTAATTAGCCTGGTAAGTAATCATCCGGTCTTTAGAGGGCACCGCGGTGACCCCTCCAGCCACCTCGTGCCACGAGGCCGTCCTGACTGGGGAGAGGTCGGACTGTCCAGTTTAACACACACCTTTAATAGCTTTAAAGAATCCAAATGAGTCATTTCCATTACGAATTTTGAAGCTGGCCCTTTTTGTTACCCAGAGGTGCCGCAGGGGGAATTTTAAAATTTGGAGTGTAAAACTTAGTGTGGCTCCACCAAATTTCCCGTACTTTACGTCTGTGAAAGAGCCGCTTCGTAGCTGTCGTTTGCTCTGGTTTTGTGCCGGCGGTGCCGGGGTCGGCGGGGGTGAAGGTTTTGCAGCTGGGTAAAAACCAGCAAGAAAGCGAGAAGAGCCCGGGCAGCCTCAGCAGCTCAGGCGACGCAAGCTGTACCCGCGTCCTGGGG